CACTTAGCTGTTCCCCACATCCACTTACCGCCGATATACTCCGTCTGTCTGGAGTCCTCGAATCATGCATATTTCCACAACAAAAATCTCCAGCTTCACGGTCTCACTCGCCCACACTCATAACTTCAGTTATCTCTACTGGCACGACTGGCGTGAATAATAGTGCCCCCGTTACTGTCATGCCTTCATCTGCTATGTCTCTTGGAGCAAAACCTTCCTCTATTTACGATACCATACCCAGTCGTCATCTCGAAACATTCCATATAAATGGGGCTATTGTTCCTCTCTCTGACGATTCCAATTCAACAGCTAAGCCTTCGGAGAAGACATCAATCTACAACAAAAGACATATGCCTTTTGGAACCAGTCCATCAGAGACCTTTGGATACGTACACGTTTCACCGGATCCCATTAACACCCCTCCCTCCGCCTCGCCTATCATTCTATCAACACCTACCACACTATCATTGTCGACCAACCACATGATATTGCCTCTTAACCATCGGCAGACACAAAAAAATATTGCCACGGGGGATGATGCACTTCAGGTGACCTGCATAGCTCCTCTTCCCTCTGTATCTTCCCCATTAGCAAACAGAGGAAATGTTGAAGAGAGCGGAGGAAACATTTGCAACAGTAATCATGTTGGTATTGGCCTTAGTTGTGACATACTTTCAACTTCTGAGGATTCTAAGTTGGCTTCCGCAAAACGCCTCCATATAGCCACTGCCGATTTGAGCTCGAACTTTGTGATGAGCTCTAATGAACTCCTAGTAGGAAAGTCTTCGGTATTCATCGAATCTGAAGAGGTGGACGAAACATGCTTGACTCCAGCACAAAGATTTAAAAAGGTACGTTAAATTCAATTCTGAATAAGTCCCAATAAATCTCCCTAAAGCCTTCAAACAAAAAACAAAAACTGTTTTATTTTTAACCTGATTAATAGCTATTTTCACTTAGATTTCTTAGGGATATCCTGTTTAGACGGTGCTCTGACTACCTCATCCTCAAAATATTTGCGAGTGTTTACAAAATGATACATGTGAACCGCAATATTTTGAATATTAAACTACCTCCGTTGTACTTACCTTAAAGCTCGAAATAATTTCGAACCCTGAA